TTAATTCATCTGCTGCAGTTTGACTTCACTGGAAGATCACTATAAGTAACTATATGCATACATGTAAGTTAATGCATCATAATTTTACAAAAATCAACCAGAGGTAGCATATAAAAAAACAAAACAAAACAAAAAATGAGACACAACAGACAAGAGAGATCCAGTTGACTGACCACTGTCCAGGTCCATCTGAGCACAATAGGTTTTCCCAGCCACTGGAAAAATAGATCTGCATTCCACAGCATTAATAGGCTGACAGTTTCTGTCAGTCATTCAGTAACTTCTTCCCTTTATTTACTACATTCCTTATGATGAGGCCTCTATCCGGTGCGGCAGCGGCTGTTTTCCCAACATCTCTCTCTCTCTCCCCCGCTCTCGCTCTCATTCTCTCTTTCTGCCTACAGTCCTGTGGGAATAGCTATATCGTAACTGTGTTTCACAATATTACTCCTTGACTCACTACAGACAGTACTCCCAGCACCATGAGTAGTCAGTATGAGTAACACTGTCTTTGACAGATTTCTTCTTTAATATTCCTGAAGCTATGACTTCACTCTTTCAGTAACACATCTGAGACGGTGATTAAAGTTCTCTGTGGTGCCTTGTTAAGTGAGTACTGTTCCCATTTCTGTATGTGTCTGTGCCTTGTAAACTCGTGCCTTTTTAAGTGGCTTTCCTCTCTCCATGGATGTCTGTGATGGTCCTCAACCAATGTTTCTCTGTTACTCCTCAGTCTGATCTATGGTTATGGGCAAATCATGTCAAACACACTTCTGGGTTATTTCAAATGAAAGCCTCTGTTTGCATTTTAACTGTGTTAAGTATACAATGGCCTTAATAGTTTGATGGCTTTAAATTGTTTTAGTTAAATTTGTCAAATGTGCTTCAGCTCTCGTACTAGCCAAATTTATTACCTTTCAGTTATTTCATTTAACATTTTTCATTGTGGTTTGATTATTGTTTTAATGAGCTGTATTAGTATTATTGTGTCACAGGTGAGTTGGAGAGGCGGGTGGTGGAAGAGATGGAGGTATGGAGTGTGGTGGGAGATGGAGGTATGGAGTGTGGTGGGAGATGGAGGT